AGGAGGCTACAATGCTTGATAAGAAATGTACTCATTATCTTGCCCATGTAATTGTAACCCCTCTGTACAGTATTTTCACAATAAAAAAAAAGGTTTGTTAACTTACAGTGGAACATATTAAAACATGCAGTGTTACACAGAGCCCAGCATGTGTTTAGCATTTGTGCCTGATACTGGATTTTGCTCTCCAGATTGGTGTATGATAGAGAGACTGGAAAACCAAAAGGCTATGGCTTTTGTGAATACCAAGATCAAGAGACAGCACTTAGTGCCATGCGGAACCTGAATGGACGTGAATTTAGTGGGAGAGCACTTCGAGTGGACAATGCTGCTAGTGAGAAGAACAAAGAAGAACTGAAGAGTGAGTATAAACCAAGGTTTAATGCATTACAAGTCAGTAAAGATATAACTGACATTTTTCTGTTCAAGCTGTGTTTTAAAATAGGCTCAAATGGACTGGTGCCAGTGGCTCAGGCCTGTAATCTTGAGGCTGACACACACACACACACACACACAAACACACACTAGGCTCAAGTGCTCAGGCCTGTAATCTTGAGGCCTGTAATCTTGAGGCTGGCACACACACACACATGCACACATGCACTCACTCACACCAATAGGCTCAAGTGCTCAGGCCTGTAATCTTGAGGCCTGTAATCTTGAGGCTGGCGCGCACGCGCACGCACACACACACACACACACACACACACACACACACAAAATAGGCTCAAGTGGTTAACCATACCACTTCTTACTTGCCTGAGTTAGGGAAGTATGTAGCTTTGAAAAGCAAAACTAACATTAGAAATTTACATGTTACTAATGAGTTGTTTTATAGTTGAATATGAATTGAAATCCACCAAGCCATTAGTAGTACAAGCTGTCATGAGTCACTTCTGTGAGTATGTCAGATCTATAACTAGTAAGAATGGGGTTTTATTTTTGTTTTAGTCCTAGGACTTGGATGCTGTCTCTGCGCCTTTCTACTCAAGGCTGCGCTCTACCATTTAAGCAATAGCTCCAGTGCTTGAGAATTTTAGTTGGTTAATGAAAGATAAGAGTCTCACACACTTTCCTGCCTAGGCTGGCTTTGAACCTCAATTCTCAGATCTCAGAATCCTGGGTGGCTAGGGTTACAGGTGTGAGCCACCAACACCAGACTAGGTAAGGGTGATTTCTTTGTTTTTGTTTTGTGCTTGTCCTAGGGCTTGAACTCAGGGCCTGGGTGATATCCCTGAGCTTTTACTAAAGACTAGCACTCTACCACTTGAGTCACAGCTGCATTTCCATGTTTTTTATTTGTTTTATTAGAGATCAGATTCTCATGGACTTTCCTTTCTGGGCTGGCTTTGAACCGCAATTCTTAGATCTTAGCCTAGATAAGTAGCTAGGATTACAGAAGTGAGCCAATAGCAACTAGCTATGTAAGAGGTTTTTTTGTTTTTATGTTTTTATTGCTTATTATAAAGGTGATGTACACAGGTAAAGAGTACATTTCCTGCCAGGTGCCGGTGGCTCACGCCTGTAATCCTAGCTACTCAGGAGGCTGAGATATGAGGATCACGGTTCAAAGCCAGCCCTGGCAGAAAAGTCCGTGAGACTCTTCAATAAACCACTGGAAAACCGGAAGTGGCGCTGTGGCTCAAGCGGTAGAGCGCTTGCCTTGAGCTGAAGAGCTGAGGGACAGTGCCCAAGCCCAGAGTTCAAGCCCCACACCTGACAAAAAAAAAGTACATTTCCTTTTGGACAATATCACCCATTCTCCCAGTTTTTCCCTCCCATCCTCACCACACAAGTTATATTGTTCAATTTCCTTTTTTAAAAATTTTATTGTAAAGTTTCTATAAAAAGGAGTTACAGTTATATGAGTAAGACAGTGATTACATTTTTTGTCAAGCATTGTTACTCCTTCCCGTGTTGCTCTCCTACTATGCCTTCCCTCCCCCACCTCCCTCACACTCCTCCCCTCTCCCCACCAAAGATGTAAAGTTCATTTCCAATATATTGTCTTGTGGGTATCATTGTTGCAATGGGTCATCCTGTGTCCTTATTTCAGCATTTTGTTATACTCCTTCCTCTCTCCAAATTAGACAAAATGTATATACAAGATGCAGGGTACCAAAATCAAGTACAGTCACAACAGGGGATATACCATAGAGGGAAGAACATACGAAGGAAACAAAAAAATCACATAGTACATTAAAACAACAACAAAGAAAGACCTCTTGTGTCCATAATTTGGTGTTCATTTCACTTAACATCATGTTATATGGTAATATGTACATAGCTTTTGAGCTTTTCGGCTCATCTGGTAAAATGATCCTAGATGTATACCAATTATTGCAAATGAGGGAAACCATGGGACCTATATTTCTTTGGGTCTGGCTTACTTCACTTAAAATGATTTTTTCTATTTCCTAACAAATGGGGCGGTGTCATTCTTTTCTGGTAGAAGTATAGAATTGGCTCAAGGGGTAGAACACTAACCTTGAGCAAAAGGAGCTCAGGGAGAACGTCCAGGCCCACAGTTCAAGCCCCAGGACTAGCAAAAAAAATGGCTCCTTCCTGTATTGTTCATTTTTCAACTGCTACTTTTGTTCGCCCTTTGTCCCTCCATTTCTGTGCCCCTCTCCTTAAGGAGTGTTTTTAATAATTACTTTTCTGAGGCAGTAGATTCATGAATTTTCTCTTGCAATTAATACTTTGTCTATATCTTTTTTTTCTGTAATAACTTGTCAAAAGAAGTTTCCATTGTCCATCTATGTGACAAGCTTTTCCTTCACAGAACGAGATTTCAGATCACTTATATCTCACTCAGCTCCAGCATATTTAAAGTTTTTAATGGGTGTTTATAGTCAACTTAGATATTAAATACTTAAAATGATTTAGCTCTTTATTTTGCCTTGCTGATTTCTTATACTTTTTTCCTGATCAGGCCTTGGCACTGGTGCCCCTGTCATTGAGTCACCATATGGAGAGACCATCAATCCTGAGGATGCTCCCGAGTCTATTAGTAAAGCAGTTGCCAGTCTTCCACCAGAGCAGATGTTTGAGCTGATGAAACAAATGAAGGTGGGAGGACGCATTAGGTTATAAATAAAACAATTCATGTTATATTTTCAAGGAGTTAATTCATGTGTTAATGCAAATAGTTCTTTGAACTCTAATAGGAGTTGTGTCTGTACATACCATTTACTGCATATTTGGTGTTTTATAAATACACGTATTTTACCTTTTGTGCACATAGTTTTCTGTTTTTGTACACAAACACTCCTGCCCAAGCATTCTAGCTAGTTTTTTGTAGGCATCATAGATACCAGATAGACGTGTTAAAATATGGGGGATTTTTTTCCTAAGCAGCAGTATTAGGGTATTTTAAATATTTCTTTCTTTGGTCTGCCATGTGCCACAAAAAAAACAGTGATAATTCAAACAGCCTGGGGTTTCTGCTCATTTTTTGTTTACTTTTTGTTTGGGCAGGACTGGGGATTGAACTCAGGGCCTCATGCTTGCTAGGTAAGCACTCTGCCATTTGAGCCATGTCCCCAAGGTCCTTTTGCTCTTAGTTTCTTTTTCAGGCAGTCTTACTTTTTTCTAGGCCAGTCTCAGACCACAATCTACCTACCTGCCTCCCAAGTTGCTGCTGTTATAGATATGCCCCACAGTGCCCATCTTGTTTTTGACATAGAGTCTTGCTAATTTTTTCCTCAGAATGGTCTCATATCATAGCCCTTTCATAACGCATCCTCCCATAGCTAGGATTACAGATATGCATCACCACACTCAACCCCTCAGAGTACTTTTTTTGGGGGGGTGGGTCCAGTCGTGGAGCCTGAACTCTGGGCCTGGGCACTGTCCCTCAGCTCTTCAGCTCAAGGCTAGTGCTCTACCACTTGAGCCACAGCGCCACTTCTGGATTTTTTTCTTTTTGCTTATGTGGTGCTGAGGAATCGAACCTAGGGCCTCATGCATGCAAGGCAAGCGCCCTACCACTGAGCCACCTTCCCAGCCCCTCAGAGCACTTCTTGAATGTAACATTTTTTGTGTGGGAATGGCTGTAAATCACTATCAGGTACTACTAAGTATTGAACATGATTATGAATCCACTTGTCTTCTCAGCTTTGTGTCCAGAATAGTCCCCAGGAAGCACGGAACATGTTGCTTCAAAACCCACAGTTGGCTTATGCTTTGCTGCAAGCACAGGTAGTGATGAGAATTGTGGATCCAGAGATTGCCCTGGTAAGTTCTTTTATAGAAATGATATGGTAGACCTTAAATGGGATAGAAACTACTGATTGCTTTGTTAAACAGACAGCTCACGGGTTTGTCTTTTCACTTTTTAGAAAATTCTTCATCGCCAGACAAATATCCCAACACTGATTACAGGCAACCCTCAGCAACTCCATGGTGCCGGGCCTGGCTCAGGAGCCAACATGCCAATGAACCAGCAAAATCCTCAGGCCCCACAGGCCCCGACTTTGGTAGGGATTTATCCCTTAATGTCTCTTAAAGAGATTCTTTCCAGATGCCCTCTTGTATATGTTAATTTACTATTGTATGAATTTCTTGAGCTGTGGTTGTCAGTTTATTTCCACATACATTATCTCATTTAACCCTCACTGCAGTAGTGGGAGGGGTAGGCACTCACATTATATTCATTCCTTGCAGTGATAAAAGCTTTTGCCAGGTGTTGGTGGCTCATGCCTCCTAGCTATTCAAGAGGCTGAAATCAGAAGATGGTTCAAAGACAGCTCATCCAGGAAAGTCCTACCGTAAAAATCCAGAAGTGGGCTGTGGCTCAAGTGATAGAGACCATCCTTGAACAAAAATGCTTAGTGACCAGGCCCTGTGTTCAAGTCCCAGATAAGAACTGAAAAGGAAAGAAAACCACACTTTCAAAGCAAGACACAAACCCTGAAGCCATTTAAAAAAACACATTTAAACTAGAAAATTTTCTGCATTAAAAAAGGGAAGTAAGAACCAGTGATCTAACAGAAAGGTATGCCACGCATATAATGGACAAAGACAAATTACTTAATAAAGTCGTGGTCAAAAATATTTAGTGCTGGAAGTGGCACTGTGGCTCAAGTGGTAGAGCATTCACCTTGAGCTGAGAAGCTCAGGGACAGTGCCCAGGCCCAGAGTTCAAGCCCCATGATCACTAAAAAAAAAAGAGTGCTACATTATACTTACTAATGAAAATTGAAATTCACCGGAAATGTACATCACTGGAAGACAGAAAATATAGTGGATGTATCCAATGGAATACTTTGACAGTTAAATAAACCTCATGTATCAGCATGAAAGACTTTAAAAAAGTGTTTCTGTTAAAATGAGCCAGGAGATATAGTATCAACACAGATAAATAAAAAATACATTTAAGCTGAAAGCTCAAGTGTTAAAATACTTGCTTAGCAAGCACATGACCATGACTTCAAATCTCAGTCCTGTGAAAGAAGAATATACAGAAAGTGAAATTAAGCGAATGCCCAAGATATGTTGACTGAATTACAAAAATATATTCAGCATGTAATTATTTATTTGTTTTCTTTGCAGTACTGGGATTTGAACTTGGGACCTTTCACAGGACCTTGCACTTGACAGACAAGTGTTCTATTCCTTGAGCTACACTGTAGTCTTTTTATGCTAATGTGTTACCTTTTTTGCCTGAACTAGCCTGGACCATGATCCTCCTATTTATGCTTCCCATAAAAACATAAGTAGGATAAAAACATAGGTCACCATACCTAGCTTCTGTTTGTTGAGGTGGGGATTTCAATAGCCTTTTTTCACCTGGGGTGGCCTTGACTTTAGTAACAAAATTAGTAGTAATCTAATAGTAAAGGGTTCAGTGGACGCAAACAATTCACAAATAGAAAAATAAATATAGATAAATGTATCCATCTTCAAAGTAGGATGTTAATACAAACTATAATAAGCAACCATCTTTCACCTCACAGATTGACAGAGGATAACAACATGGGAGGGGTCCTCAGAAGGTATTGGGTAGAGATTAACAAACATTTTGTGTAAATATCCAGAGTAATTATTTTTGGCTTTGCAAACCTTAAAATAGAACTATAAGTGGTATATCTAGGATCTGAACTTTTTCCTCACTGTGCTCATAGTCTGTTTGCTCTTAATTACCTCCCTATAAAAAAGCTTGACCAAATGAAAATGTTTTCATCTTAAAAATGCAGACCACCCAGGTATGGGGGTGTGGCTCAATTAGTAGAGTGCTTTGGCAAACTCAAAGCTTTGAGTTCAAACCCAGAACAATAAAATTGTATGTTACTAGCAAAGTCCCAGCCTTTTTTTTTCATTCATCACAATTTATTCAAATTAGGTTTTCTGGTTTTGTAGCACTTTTTGGGGGGGGGGTCCAGTCGTGGGGCCTGAACTCTGGGCCTGGGCGCTATCCCTCAACTCTTCAGCTCAAGGCTAGTGCTCTACCACTTGAGCCACATCGCCACTTCCGGCTTTTTTCTTTTTGCTTATGTGGTGCTGAGGAATCGAACCCATGCAAGGCAAGTACTCTACCACTGAGCCACCTTCCCAGCCCCGGTTTTGTAGCTCTTAATATCTTTTTTTAAATTTTTTATTGTGAAAATACCATTAAGTCTTCTTTTATTCAAGGTACTTTTTATTCTTTTATTTCTGGACCCTAATCATGAAGTAGAATGAGTGCTATGTACTGCCTTGCCACACAGATAAGACTGGTTTGTCTCTTTATTTAGGTCATGTTCCATTCAACTGTTCACATAAACACACTCATAAGATTGCAAGTTGCTTCTGTGTTCTAGTGTATGGTAAATTCGTGTTGTGTAAGACATGTTATATAAAAAGTGTGCTGGGCTGGGAATGTGGCCTAGTAGTAGAGTGCTTGCCTAGCATGCATGAAGCCCTGGGTTTGATTCCTCCAGTACCACATAAACAGAAAAGACTGGAAGTGACACTGTGGATCGAGTGGTAGAGTGCTAGCCTTGAGCAAAAGAAGCTCAAGGACAGTGCCCAGATCCTGAGTTCAAGCCCCAGGACTGGCAAAAAAATAAATAAAAAGGGTACTTGAGCTGGGCCTATGTATGCAATCCTCAATATTTAGGAGGCTGAGATCTGAGGACTATGGTTCACAGCCAGCTTGGACAGAAAATTTCTTGAGTCTCTTACCTCTTAACCACAGAAAGCTGGCAGTAGAGCTGTGGTTCAAGTAGTAGAGTATTATTAGTCTTGAGCACAAAAGCACAGTGACAGCACGCAGGCCCAGAATTTAAGCCTCAGGATTTGTTGTAAAAAGATTGAAGGTGTGAGGAGAGTTTCATAGACTGTTTGGAACTGCTCATTTGAAGAGCACTTTAAGGTCATTGATTCAATTACTGACTTTTTGCAGAAACCTGTGAACATTCTTGTGGTTTCCTCCATCAGGGTGGAATGCATGTCAATGTCAATGGCGCACCTCCTCTGATGCAAGCTTCTATGCAGGGTGGAGTCCCAACACCAGTGCAAATACCACCTACTGTAACAGGACCTGGCCCAGTTTCCTTAGCTCCTGCAGGTAGAGTTCATTTAGATTTTTATTATTTGTTACTTCACTAATGTTTTGTCTTGACAGCAGCTGTAGTGCAGCCAAATTATATGATAATAGATTTTTACTATGAAACTAATAGACAGCTAAGAATATATATATATATATACACATATATATACATGTACATATATATATATATATATATACACACACATATCCTACGTGGAGGACATAGATGGTTTGGTTGGTGGTTTTGTTTGAGACAGGGTCTCATTATGTAATTTTGTTTGGCCTTGAGTTCATGATTCTCTGCTTGAACTTCCCAAGTGCTCACTTTACATTTAGAAGGCCCCACCAAGCCCAATGAGATCATTTGTTTTATGAGACAAGTGTACTGATCATACATGTTCCAGTAATGTCAAACTACTGTAAAAGCTTCTAATGTTGGTTCCTCATTTCTGTACTTGACTTGTCATGAACTATTAATTCATAGGTTATAGATCAACATCTTCTTTAGACCATACCTTGAGTGGCATTGTACTAGTGCACAAAAACTAGGTGTGCATAGTGAGGAATTAAACAATAGAATCAGTAATTTCTATTTAAAATATAAAGGGAACCTTATATCTTTGGACTATACAATGCATTTCACATCCACTTGTTCTGCAAGCACAAGACTCTGAGAATTCAATCTCCAGAACTGTTCAGAAAAAAGGGGATGGCAAAGAAAATATGTAAGAACTTCATAGAAGAACAAGCTAGATGGCTTAACAAAAACTCACTTAACAATTGAGGGATTACAAATTAAATAATGAGATTTCACATAAACCCACTACCAAGTTTCAGAGAGATGAGATGACATTCTTACATTACTGATAGAAATGTGAAGTTTAAGCCTTTCAAGAAAATAGCCCAACATAACAATTAATATACATTTTGAATCATCAGTGCTTTTAGGTGATGGTGTATGAATAATTATGCTCATAATGCTTTCCTTAGGTCCTAAGTATTGGTGATTGATCTAGATAGAATGAAGAGAACAGTGTTATGGCTGAAAAAAAGCATTGAAATCATTTAGACTAGTGGTTTTCAAATGTTAATGTAATACAGAATCACTGAAAGGGCTTATAAAATACAAATTGCTATTCCTTTCTCTAATTTGTAAGTCTAGGATACAGAACCTGAAAATTCACAGTTCTAACAAATTTCCCAGTTCTACTCAAATTTCCCCAGCTAGATTGATACCACATTCTGAGAACTATTATTTTAGACCAACTCATTCATTTCAAAAATAAGGAAGGTCAAGAACATATTAATTTTTGTCAAATCACTGGTTTAAAATCACAATTATTTAGTAGCAGTGTCAGAGCTAGAACCCAGGTCTTCATTTTGTTAATCTTTGTTGCTTGGCATGTTGAATGAAATAGGGAGTGTGTGATACATACTTGCTGTTTTAGAAAAGTATTAATGAACTACAAATCAATGGGCTTGCCTTTTATCCCCACTCACAGCAAGGTCCTATGAGGTAAAGAGAATTATTGTTATGTGAAAGGGACCAGACAAGGTCTTGTACAAGGTTGTTCTTTACATAGCAGTCACCGTGGTTAGAGTAGTAGTAGTAGTAGTAGACCATGATTCTCAACCTTGTTAGATAAAAATATCCCTCTTTCATAATAGATATTTTGCAATGACTTAACTCTCCTGAAATGAGCTACACAGATGATATAACCCAGGCAACACAATTTCAGAAAAAAATGTGTATTTCTCATTATAAATGAGAAATAGAAGGATGTAAGTTTTTTTAAGTTGATATGCAATTATCCAGGTACAATAATACTAGAAAACAAATGATAGTTGTCAGGTATTTGCATCTGTACCATCAGTGTAAAAACAGAACGTAGATAGATACAGTTATATCTGTTGTGGTAAATCATATGACAAGGAGTATTAATTTGATGATGTGATTTTCTTAAATAGTGAAAACTCATCTTAAAATTCTTAAAACAGGTTGAATTGTCTACAGTTTAATAATTAGTAGCATTTCTAGACAAATCAATACACGCATTGCTTGTGTATGTGTACTTATAGTTTAAAGAACCTTTGCTTACAAATAAACAGATTCTTTGTTCAGATGGCTACAAATAGATTTTCATTTTTATGAATGTTCATTTGAAAGTTTTAAAGACACAAGGTATCTCGATTTTGTGGGACTGTTTCATAGCTGGCAGGACACCTCATATCCCTGGTACTTTCTCAATATCAGCTGTACCCTCACAATTTTTTTTTTGGTCAGTCATGGGGCCTGAACTCTGGGCCTGGGCATGTTCCCTCAGCTCTTTAGCTCAAGACTAGTGCTTTACCTGCCACTTGAGCCACAATGCCACATCTGGCTTTTTCTGCTTATCCCCACAAATCATTGTCACACTGAAATAGTATACCTCCACATTTACAGAATACTCTGGAAACAGTACTCCCTCCCATGAGAGGAGGTCCATGGTAAGTGGCACTGTTACCTGTCTTACAGATCAGCTTTCTACTACAGTTTTGGTAATCCATGAGATGAAGCATTTTGACTGAACTCACTTTTCTGTCATGGAACATGGAGTATATGAACAAATCTTTCGACTAACTGCATTGTTGAGTGTAGTTGCCATCTTCCTTTGGAGGTTTCTCCTTGTAGGGGCAGAATAAGTAAATCTGTACATTCAGCTACTGTTCTTATTTTTTCCACTGTCCTAATTTTTATTTTTCCTGCTCTTTATCTTCAGGTGTAATGCAGAGCCAGGTTGGAATGCCAGGAAGTGGACCGGTGCCTATGGATCGGGGACAAGGTAAGTATTAATGACTAATTGATAGGAACTAGACTTGGAAATGTTCTTGTTTGCACTGTTGGGTTATGTCAACCACTAACCACCAGTGACTATTTAAATATTAAATTTATAAAATTAAGTCCAAACAATTTGTTAATCACAATAACTGCATTCCAGGTGCTCAGTAGCTATATGTGGCTTATGGATATCACATTGCAGATGGGAGATGTATAACATTTTTCTATTTGCCACAGAAATTTCCATTGAACAGTACTGGTCTAGACTTTTGTACATCATGATTCAGAGCCTCTGCAAGAATTGATAACCAAATGCATCCTTTCTTTCCTGACAGTCCTAATCATTCCACTGACACATTCTCTCTCTTGGAATGAATATCTATTGGATTAGTAAAAAACATTAATAGTGAGGACATAGCATGTGAATGGGTATGTAAATTCTAGATTTAAGTCCCATAACAATCTGGGAAGGGATCATAATCTAAAATAAACCCTCCCTGGGAAATTTCTATTATACCATGGCTACAATATTATGTATGACAGCAGCCACTCCAAAAATTCCACAGTTTTACCATGTTACTAAAGTTTGAATGAAAAGAAAATATAGTGGTTTGGTTGAAATGTAATTTAGGAAGAAAGAAGGTTAGGAAAGAGAACTGAGTGTTATGTGCTATGTATACTCAAGCACTTCAGTTCTCATGAACAACGTTGTGGGTTAGGTGGCAGAACTTCAGTTTTACAGGAAAACTCATGGAAGCTCAGAAATATAAGTTACCTGAGGGGACAAGGTAAGTAAATGCCAATGTCTGTTGTGGCTTCTATTTGATGTTTTCTTCCAACTAGTAAGAGGGAGGGCTAAGATGGAAAAAAATCTGTCCGTCTACACTGCCTCTCTTAACACCCAAAAATGTTCCTAAGTGTTTTCTATACTTATTAATTGGGTCCCTGTGATAGGAAATGATTACTCTGAACAGGCATAGAGAAGCTTAAGTGTGTTTTTTTTCTTAGTGTATGTTTTATAAATGAAAACCATTTAAAAAGCGAAGTGTATGACCCTGAATTTAGTCTTCAGCACCAAAAAAAAAAGCCCTAAGATATAGGCCAGTTATTTACACATTGGAATTAGGAGTTGAAGTGATAGAATTAAGGACTTTTTTTGTCTTAACAGTACAGTACAACAAAAACTCCTGACTAAATACTTCATCTTTTTTCTTAAGCACTCTTCTTTGGCATTATTATGTGCCTCTTTCCTCCATTTGTTCCCAGATTGTCTTACTTTTCCTAGAATCTTTGCTTCTTTGGCACACGTACAATGATAAAGAGAGACAGTGGGATGTTTGAAAAGATAACTTCTTGTTTTCCCACTGCTTTTGTCATTTGATACTTTTCTTCATAGCAGAAATTTTGTACTTTAAAATAATGGCAAGATGGGCACCAGTTTCTCACAGCTGTAATTCTAGCTGTGTAAAGACTGTAATCTAGAGGATTGTAGTTCAAAGTCAGCCCATGCAGAAAAGCCCATGAAACTCTCAAATTAACCAGCAAAATGCCAGGCTAGAAGCATGGCTATATGTAGCCATAATCAGGAAAGCCAAAATTGAGCATGAGGCCCTGACTTCAAGTCCTAATACTATCAATCAATCAATCAATAATGATAAAAAGAAAAAATGATAAAAATACAGTGGGGAACTTGTGGCTCATGCCTATAATTTTAGCTACTTAGGAAGCTAGATTTGAGGATTGTAGTTGGAAGCCATCTAGGGCAGGAAAGTTCATGAGACTCTTATCTCCAATTAACTACCAAAAAGCCAGAAGTGGGGTTGGGGCTCAAGTGGTAGAGTGTTAGACCTGAGCAAAAAAGCTCAGGGAGAGTTCCCAGGTCCTGAGTTCTAAGACTGAAAACCAATACACACAGATGTATGCGTGCACACATGTGCACATACACACACACATATACACATATATATTTATGGCCTCCAGAATAGGTCAGTGCAGTTTATTTCTTATTTACCTTCTGGAAGTACTTATTTTTCTTTGCTTCCCTAGTGATTCAAAACCATCCTTTTATATTTTGTTTCTTTTTTTCACCGTGGAATAGGGACATTTTATGGGGAAACATACTAGTAGCTGAGGAGCAAACAGAAAATTGCTAGTTATTCCTGCCCAGATAAACTTAATGGCCATATGAGGTTTACTTTAAGAAGCTATCTTGTTAAAGCTGTTTCAGATACCAAAAACCTAGCTTAGGAAATTTTTGTAGCCTGAGGCTTTTGAACTTACATGTCTCCAGTTTCCGCATGTATGTATATGTGTTTTAAGTGTGTGTTTGCATATGTTTGCCCGCGCACAAGCTATTTTATGCATCTACTCTTTGTCCTTTTAAACTTACTGCTTACCTAGGAACCCTACAGCACTCGCCCGTGGGACCCGCCGGGCCTGCATCAATTGAGCGAGTTCCAGGTACCTATTGTATCTGCGGGTTTCCTTTTGCTTGTGGTCAGGGTGGGATGATACGAGGAAAAGAGCTGCTTGGCAGTCATCCTCACATTCAGAACCCAAAAGGGCAGTGATTCTGGGGTGTTTTTTTTTGTTTTGTTTTTTGGGTTTTTTTTTGGGGTTTTCTTTTTTTTCCTGTTGAGGCCACAAGCCTAAGATTGACCTCTTCACACAGGGCAGAGAACATGGATGATATGGGCATCTGTCCGAGGCTGTACTCCCTCCCTACTGGTGTCAGGAGGCTTGGATGGAATAGCAGTCTGTAAGGAGACAGCAGGTTTTTTCAGAGCCATGGCAATGTTCACATATGCCAAGACTCTATCTCTCTTTTGTGACTCTAGTCCATAATCTAAGATTAATTAGAAAGAAGTATCAGGAGTATAAGTTTCTTTAGGCCTCAGTGCTAGTCCTTGGCAGGTTGCTCCCCAGTTTATATAATTCCATCCATACCTCTGACATGGCAAAGATTCTGCCTACACCCTGCTTCTGTTCTTGAGCTGCAAGAGGATTCTGCTGTGGTGAGGTTTCACCCACTCTAAGGTGTCTGAATTATGTTGTCAGTGGAATATAGAGTCATTTCTTGTTTCCTTACATGTCTTTCACAGCAGTAACTCCCCGTTTGTTTCCCTGTCAGTGCCGATGCAAGACCCCAGAGCAGCTATGCAGCGGGGATCCTTGCCTGCCAATGTCCCAACTCCTCGAGGTCTGTTAGGAGATGCTCCAAATGACCCACGTGGAGGCACTTTACTTTCTGTAACTGGCGAGGTAGAGCCTCGGTAAGCACTGATCTAGAAAAAAACAATTTGAGAAGAGAGCATTTTTCCTTGCTATAGGAACAAAGTCTTGCTATGTTAGTTGTCCCTGTTTGCCTAATTCAAAAATTAAATAAGTATTTTTGGCTATTGTTGAAGACTAAGATGACTAGTTATTGATATAATTTCAATGGCATACTATGTTCTCAGAACTTGCAAATTCTAGCATATATACCTGAACAAGAAAACGTTGTGATAGTTGTAATATTAATAATAGCACTCATAGTAGTAGACGTAGGTATGGGTGACCATACCTCTGATCCTTCTTTAAGAACTTTATGTAGTTGATTTCATTAAATCTACTTAGGGTGTAGCACAGTGTTAAATCACTTGCCTTATATAACTAAAGGGCTTGTGATCAATCTCCAGCCCCACAAAAAAGGAATCCAAATAATTTTAGAAGATGGATATTAATTGGTCCCATTTTACAGATGAAGAAACTAAGGCGCCAAGAAGTCAATTATGTGTGCCTTAGATGAGATTCTAGATTTGATCCCACATAATCTAAGTCCAGAACCTGTGTGTTTTAAGCATTTTACTGCATCCCCTCTACATGTAATAACTGTCCATTAATTCCTCTTCATTAGGAGTTCACCCAAATAAGTTATACAATATGTGGGTTTATATTCTGCAGCTTTACTCTAATGTGTTTGGTGTTATTAACATTTATTGACATTTATATCAGTTCTTTTGGTATGTCAGTTACTGATATTTGGATAGAGGTTTGCAATTATTTGTTTTAAAATATAACTGTTCTCTATCTCCAGAGGTTACCTGGGACCACCTCATCAGGGTCCACCCATGCACCATGTTCCTGGCCATGAAGGCCGTGGACCACCCCCACATGACATGAGGGGAGGTCCATTACCTGAACCTAGACCTCTAATGGCAGAGCCAAGAGGACCCATGCTTGATCAGAGGGGTCCACCTTTAGATGGCAGAGGTAAGGGGAAAGCACATCGCAAGTGGTAGTCATGGGATTAAGAACTCAGCTATCCTCATTTCTAATCTTGGATAAAGAATAGAAGGACATTAGAGTTAGCATCATCATTAAGGTTTATCAGCAAATCTTAGGAGGAGACAAGTCTCATATATGGGAAAGTTTCTGTGTGTCTTAAATTATTAATTTGTACAATTAGATGAGTAGCCACATGGTCGTTTTTCTTACGGCTTTATAGGAGGAAGAGATCCCCGAGGAATAGATGCACGAGGGTTAGAGGCCCGAGCTATGGAAGCAAGAGGACTGGATGCCAGAGGATTGGAAGCCCGTGCCATGGAAGCTCGTGCCATGGAAGCCCGTGCCATGGAAGCCCGTGCCATGGAAGCCCGTGTCATGGAAGTCAGAGGCATGGATACAAGGGGCCCAGTTCCTGGCCCTAGAGGACCTATGCCTAGTGGAATGCAGGGTCCTAGTCCAATTAACATGGGCGCAGTTGTTCCCCAGGGCGCTAGACCGGTATGTATCCATGTGAAATCTTGATTTATTTTGGAATTGCTCATTGAGCTTGATTATTAGTACCTTTCTGACTTGAATTTCTCGGATTGTTAGAAAGGAAACACTAGGTTCTTTATTCCTTTGAGGGAGTGATTTTCTGGCAGTTAGGATTATAATACGAAGGAAAGCCTTTACCTTCAGTAGCTATTTCATTAAGATGACAGTCCCTGAAAATTGAAAATTCATTAGGGATGCAAACTAGCATTATGTATTAGACTCCTAAGTGTACTTGCCCACCAGCTCTCAGCCTAGGCCTGTCAACATCTCTATCAGTGGGATCTTGGTATCGGTGATGTGAAAGAACTCCTCAAGTGATTCTGGTGTATAGCTCTGACAATTATGATATACTAAGATTATTTACATAATCTTAGGTTGGCAGAAACTTCTTAATTATTGTCATCATATAATCCTAAATGAAGAATAAAGTGTGAAAATGTGCTGATGATTACCTCACCTGTTGATTGAAATATGCCTCTTTTCCTTTCTTTATTGGTACTCTCCAGTTGTATGTATATGGTGCTCTGTGGTTCTCTTCTCTTCCTCATCCTCATTTGGTTGTGGAGAAGTAGTAGTATATGTGTATCTACCCTATGTTTTATGTGCTGACACCTTCATTTTCCTCTATCTCCTCTTCCTTTCTCCTTCCTCTGTATTTTTTTTCTTCTCTCTTCATATGTTGATGTGTCTTCTTATGGGGAGGATAGAGGAAAAGGAGAGGGACTGGGAAATATTACAGAAACATCAGCCAGAATTCAAATGGTCTTGACCCACATAACTAAAAAACAAAAAAAAGGGCAGAATAAAAGATAGAGCATACTTTTTCTGCTCTACCCCTGTGTTGCTTCGGTAACTTTGTGTGTATGTACATTCCTCTTTAATTTTAAATTAAAATGTAGATTTTTTCCTATATAGAAGTATATAGTGAAGTATATAAAAGTGTATGTGTGTTTGTATATTCTCTATTGTTTTTCAAATTTTGCTTCAAAAATGTATTTGTGGGTCTTGAGTTTTATTGTACCCTCTATGGTCATAATAGAAATAGGTTTACACATTTTTCAGCAACAATTTATTGAGCTCCTACTATATACCAAGCAAAGATCTAGGTACTGGGAATATTGTATTGTGAACAGTGAAGTTCTTGCCCCCATGGAGCTTGTACATCAGCTGAGGAGACAGAACAAATAACTGTATAGTATGCTTATATAATTTGATAATTCCGTGGAGAAAAACAGAAAATAGTAATTGGAAAACCATTGTTAAGTACTATCTTGGCTTCTTTTTCATTGCTAGTGCTCAAATTCATTAGTCTGTAATACTAGGGTTTGTTTGTTTATGTTTTAGCTGGGAAATCAAACCAAAGGCTTTTTGCACATGTGAAGTGAGCTGACCTACTGAACCTGCCTAGTGTAGCCAGTGTGGGAAAAATAAAAATTTTATCTTCATACTTTAACTTAAAAATTAATTTGTTCACTTAAATATATATGTGTGTATGTATGTGTACACTTAAATATGTATGTGTGTGTATGTATGTATGTATGTGTACATGTATATATATACACATAAATATTTGTTTATAAAAGTAATACGTTAAGAACTTAACTTCCTGGCTAGTCATGATAACTTAAACCCAGCTGTTCAAGATACAGATATTGAACTTCAAATAAGGTTGTGTTCCAGGCTAGCCAGGGCAAAAATACAAGACCTTGTTCAAAACCAAAGTGAAAGAGGTTAAGGTGTAGCTCACATGGTAGAGTGCCTGTCTAGCAACTGCAAGGTACTAAGTTCAAATCCCAGGACTCCCCATTACTCCAGAAAAAAATTACTTTTTCCCTCTCCTATAGATAATAGCTTTTGGTATATCTTTATGCAGTTTCAGACAATATGAATATGTACTCTTATTTTTCCTTCTTTACTATTCAGTGCTTTTTTATTAGCATATATTAGGTATACAAAGGGAATTGTTGTGACATTTAGACACATGTATACAACTTGTTCAATCATTTTCATCCCTCCTCTCATTCTCCTTCCACTTATTAAAACAATTTTAACAGGTAAATTCATTGTTCTGATTTCATACATTCAATCATTCTTTTAGTCATAAAGAGCATTGTTTATTTTTTCACTTAATTTTTTAATTATCTTTTAAGTAACTTTATATCTGCTTTGTTTTTTAACTTAATATATGCTTGATTGTCTTAAATTCAGTTTTGAAAGTTTAACTCCTGTCCCTCCAGGTGGAAACTTGAGGGTACAAGACTTATTGTGTCCAGGGTGATTTTATAATTTTTCACACAAAGGGTACACTGAGAGTAAGAGTACTGTTATTAATTTCCTCTGAGGCAAAAGCATAATTAGGACTTTCTTAGGCAAACCAAGATGTATGGTCACTAGTACTCATCTGTCTAGAACAAGAACTTGTGGAAACCCAAAGTGGCCATTATTGGATAGTTATTTCACATTATGGTACTTAGCAAGTGTTAACTTAAAAAATTATGCCCAAAGGTGTTTCAGATTGGTAACTGATCATTAGGGTTCAAACTGGCACCTGGATTAGTACTGATTAAAAAAAAAACAAAATCATGACAGTGTTGTAGCAATCTATTCAGAACTAGTGTTTCCTGTTTCCAATGTCTAGGAAAAGATAATCTGTGTAAGCTTAGATGAGAGAACTAGTCTACCAGTGTTTTCAATAAACTATTTTAATGAAAAAATTACTTATAAGGTTTATTTAATTTTCTTCTTAAATAGAATATAAAAATGCAAGTCATATTTATTACTCAAAGTGATCATTAAGTAGATGTTATTGTGTATGCAGTAATATAAAGCATAATTATTTCCTATGTGGTTTCTGGTCTCCTTCACTATGAAGCTGTCTTGCTCTTCACATTGCTGCTGTGATATGCACTCCTAACAGGTGTTTATCTGTATTTCTTTTATGCTTTGCTGCTTCTTATCTGCTGGAGAAGCAGGTAACAAGTTTGTTGATAATTTGTATTTAGTAAGAGTACTGAAGCTCTGGGTGAATGCCTGAGTGTGAATATAACTGGTATAGTACCCATCTATCAGTTATGCTAGGAGCTCAAAGGACTTTTCCTTGAGTTCTGGTAATCTTCAAATGGGTTGAACTCACTGAAGATCTTAAATGTCAGTAACTACGATGTAACTACAATTTGCTCTCTTGCTTAGGTCAGTCATATTTCTTGATTTGTATTAAGCAGAAAGCTTCAAAGCATCTGTTTTATGTTCTCTATGGAAAACTATAAAAAGCATATGTTGGGCTAATAGCAGTCTTTGCCCCAGAGGCCTTCCCAACTCCTATCTGTCTCTGATTTGGTCATCTTGTGGGATAGAGCCCATTGGGACAAACTGTGTCTCATTGAACTAGAGGTATGCAGTAAACCCATGAATATAGTTTTCCTGGTGGACCAGCATATATTATCTCTAGAATTTATTGATTTTCATGTGTTTCCACTGAGCACTAGTTTCCAGAGTGCTCTCAGTTTTCCCTGTGTTTATTTGGCTGAATTTTGCTTAATTTAATACTATCCAATTTTGTTTTGTGATTTGATGATGATGATGTTGGAACTGTTGCAGGCAAGTATGTTTGACTTACTAGTTGATTTCTTGCCAAACCCTGCCTCCTCCTGCCATTGCTAACAGTAGAAGCTGACCTTTAGAGGCATTGATTTCCTTTTTTTATTCATACACTTACGTAGGTTGCAATTTTTCACATTGTTATTACTGTGAGTTTTCTAAATATCAGGAGCTCTGAAATTTTTCTTCCTTCTTTGTTCACATAGGTCCCAGTCATGCAGGCAGCAGCTATGCAAGGAGCAGCCATGCAAGGAGCAGCTATGCAAGGAGCAGCTATGCAGGGTGGAAGCCAACCTGGTGGTTTTAGTCCTGGACAGAGCCAAGTTACACCACAGGATCATGAGAAGGTAAGGCACACAGTGTGACAGGCTCCATACACACAAATCTAATCTTTTTGACTCCTTTTCACAGTTACCCATGTGGCGATCATGGGTCTTCACAGTCCCTTTGGAGGTGATGTTTATTCTAACTCAGAACTCTTTTATGATCTTTTTTTTTTTTTTTGGGTCCGGTCATGGGGCCTGAATTCTGGGCCTGGGCGCTATCCCTCAGCTCTTCAGCTCAAGGATAGCGCTCTACCACTTGAGCCACAGCGCCACTTCCGGCTTTTTTCTTTTTTCTTATGTGGTGCTGAGGAATCGAACCCAGGGCCTCTGGCATGCAAGGCATGCGCTCTACCACTGAGCCACCTTCCCAGCCCCTCTTTTATGATCTATTGCCTAAAAATTTGTGAACCTGGTCCTAAAGTTAAGTGAATATTAATAGAAGTTTATTTAACATTTCACACTCATCTACCAACAGGAGATTGTGTGTATGTGTGTGTGCGCGCGTGTGTGTGTGCGCGCGCGCGTGTGCGTGCATGCATGCAGGCTAGATTGACCTGAAAATTCATAGCCCATGTCTTCCTCCCCTTCCCACTTTGTCCCTAAAAACAGCAGCAGATTCCCCACAAGTATTTCTTCCTAATATTTTATTTGGGCATTATGGAGAATTCATGCCTGATTAAAAAAAGCTACTAAAACTTGTGGGGAAAATAAGAGACTTCAAAATGGGATTAAAAACTGAATACTTCCCAGGGCTCACAGATACCACCTTAATCCAAGAATTTATCCGTTTACAAAGGTGTCTGTTTTGAATCATCTAATCTTAGGTATTTTAATTTATACTTGTTCTTTTCATCATGCTTTTTCTCACTGATTTCTTTTCTTTTTGGCCTTCAGTTTACTTTGTGTATGTGGAATAGCCTTACCATTGCCATTTTGCTTCATGTCTCACTACAGGAGCTTTGGGGACAAAAGTTGCCGGTGGGTTTTTTGTTGTTGTTGAGCTGCCATCATTGAAACTCACTGCCTTCTTTGCCTCTGCACAGGCTGCTTTAATCATGCAGGTTCTTCAGCTGACTGCAGACCAAATTGCCATGCTGCCTCCTGAACAAAGGCAGAGTATTCTAATCTTAAAAGAACAAATCCAGAAATCCACTGGAGCACCTTGAAAGGTGAGAAAATCTGAACAGGACTAGTGCCTTGTATATTTTGGATAATAAGCTTTCAACCTCAACAAACCACCAGCGTGTTCTCTCTGGTGCATTAGTCCTCTTCATTAGATTCTTCTTTTTCTAGTTAGCTTCTTGGGATAAGGTAAGACTATATATACAACATTTGTTCAGTTCAATTGCATGTAATCTTTCTTAATGACCAATGTCATATATGATTAATTGAACAAAATCAACTATAAGAATGTAGAAAACTAAAGATCTTCTTCAATCTCATTTCCCTAACAGAACCTCTCAATATAGTTTGATATGTGTCTTCCAGAATCAGTTGTATTCTTTTACTCAAAATGTCCATCAAGTCGGGCGCCGGTAGCTCATGCCTTTAATCCTAGCTACTCAGGAGGCTGAGATCTGAGGATTGCAGTTCAAAGCCAGCCCGGGCAGGAAAGTCCGTGAGACTCTTATCTCCAATAAACCATTAGAAAACCGGAAGTGGCGCTGTGGCTCAAGTGGTGAAGTGCTTGCCTTGAGCTGAAGAGCACAAGGATAGTGCCCAAGCCCAGAGTTCAAGCCCCACGACTAACCAAAAAAAATTGTCCATCAAAATGGGAAAAATACAAAGCATTGCAATAAAATATACAAATAACTTGGTTTCTAGTTTTTGTTTTCAAAGTATTTTGATGGTAAACTATTAAGAGTAAGTTTAAGGTAGTCTCGTGTCACCATCCATTTTTTATACCTTTTGGAGATTGCTGGACACTACCACCTTTATTTTTCTTGCTTTTACCTAATGTTCTCTATTTCTAATGGCTTTCTGCCAATTTTTTCTTACAGAATTTCAAATATGCCTGGTGACACATCTGGAAATTCCGTAACTTCATTGAAATGTTGATAAAAATGTTACTTCTGCATCCTTACCCCTGAATGACCCAAGTTGGTGCCAGGTGGAGGACTCCCAGAACAAAACAAATTTTTTTGTCTTAGTTTGTATATTTTCTGTTACATTAAATAAACTTTGAACACAATTTTAGTACACTGCAAATTAATATACATGACCATTTTACTTTTACAATGCTAAAACACCAAGGGCGGAACTTAGATATGGTTTCTACCCTTACCATTATACTATCTTGCCATAATTCTGTTTTTACTGTAGGACATTAATCATTTATTTTGATGATATTTGAGAATTTCTCAGAAGCAGTGTTTTCTGGAACTTAGTTTTTGTTGAATTTTCTTCCAGCCAGATAATAAGGCTTTGCCCTTTAAAAACTGTAGATTTTCTGAATCTTCTGGGAGAAGTAGCATATGCTCAGAGCTATTAAATGGTTCGAAGGCGAGCAAAGCAAAGAGTATACCACAGCAGTGTGTGTTTGGTTTAGAAAAATCCAATTATTGAAATACACTCATCTGTAGTAGGTCTGAACATTTGAGAGTTCAAAGATTGTGTTGGTACTGGTTTCAGTGTGTATCAACAACACAAAAGACTGTTGACATTTACTTGTCTGTTATAAAGCTCTTCAATGTAGTTAAGAAAAGTCACTGGTTTTTCATATGTTCAAAGTAAATTAAAAACTAAAAGAAATGAATGAAATTTATTTCATTCTATCTTCCAGGAAATCACTAACTTTGCAGTCCTCTGGACTCAAACTTATTCTGAGAACTTGAAACAGAAATACTAAAACTTTTACATTCTTAGCTCTTTTAAAGGGGACCAAATGTAGAGCACAAGCAGTCAGATTGCTCATTAAGTCTACCTGCTTTCTTGCAAATAGGTATGGACATTAGCTAGTGCTAATGAGCTCTAACTTACAGATCTCCTTGCCTTGTATTCTCTCTTCTCATAGTGGCAGTAAGGAAGAACATTGTTTCTCTCCATCAGGCCAGCCTCAAGAGTTGCCTTAATAACTAGTAAAGTTCTACTTAAAACCTCTTTTGAGCCTGCTTGTAGTCTCAGAATCCTACTCTGGTTGAGTATTATGGTCAAGTGAATTAAAGCCCTGGCATAGGCAAATAGAATGTGATAGCATATTGCTTACATTCCAGATGAAAGAATGCAAAGATAATCAACTTCAGGAAAGACAGTAAAAGGGAAGGATTCTTCAACTGCAGTATATAAACGTTTAACACAAAATGGGCTGGATTGTTCCTACAACTTAACGAGAACTCCAAACAGCTGAGGAACTTTATGAGTATCCTATTCAACCCCCATTCAGCTTGGATGTTAATTATGCATAGGGTTTATTGTTTCATTACCTTTTCTGCCTCTGTGAATGTGTTGGTTTTAAAACTGTCATATTTTAAAGTATCAAAATATTTAGAACTTGAGACCAAGAGTGAAGCATTTTCTGTCAGGAACTCCAGTTTCAAGTAACTCAGATCTCAAATCAAGGATACTAAAGATTGAAATTACTGGTGAGCAGTTAATTGACTAATAGGAACTGTATCATTAAGGTTTCATTGTACTTTTTTCCAAAGCCTTTTTAAATTTAGATATCTGAAGCCCAGATGAACAATGGCAGCAGCAGTGGCATCCTACTTTATCCCTATGGAAACAGTCATCAGTAGTTTTTACTGATGTGATAACATTTACTGCGAGTTCATGAACTGCCTTTATGTTATTCATACTAGTGACCAAAAAAAAGTCATAACTAATTCTTCAAGTCATACAGGCTTCAAATAATTAAAATCAATCATTTGTTCTTGGTCATTTATGTGTGGAAAATAGGTGCTCTCATGCTGATTCAGTCGACACATTTATAAATCTATAGTGAGTTCAGTTGTCTTAGAACACAGTTGAAGTGTGCAATTTTCTCCTTGAGAGCCTGGGGCTTCTTCCCCACTACGGATTCACTGTGACTACTGGCATCTTAGAGCCAGTGTGGTTATTGGTAGATGGGAGAAGTCATTTTATGGGAAAATGTCATTTTGCATGTCATTAGATACATGATTTCTTAGTGAATAGGTAGGAGCCAAAGGTCTACAGCAAAATTACAAATTCTGTATTAATTTTAACCACAGGTGGCGATAAAGAGCTTCTGTCAACTAAATTCAGTCATCCCATGGTGGAGAACAAGTTTTCCCGTTTTATTTCCAACAGAATTAAGATGATAGTATAGCTGACTTTGAATTATATTGCAATGAGTATGCTTTTAAGATTATCTTTCTCAATTGGAAAGTCTAGAAAAAGTGACTCAATAGCAGAGAAAGAAAATCCTTTGTTTTCTGAGGAGCAAAAATTGGCAAAGCTGTTCACACTGGATGAGACTGTGTTTATTAATGTACCTAGTTGGTGTTATATGGGGATGGGGTTCTTGGTAATTTTATATTCATTGTTTATTATTTATGGTTATGTTTTGTCATTGATTCAATAAATTTTATTTATTCAAAAAGTCATCCTATTTACAAGTCTTCTATGAGGGCAGGAGGGAGGGGACATTATGAACCAAAACTCAAGTCCAGATGGTAACAGATGGAATGGACAAAGCCTGGCGTTGTGTCAACCACCAAAGCTCTGCTATCAAGCTTTGTTGCAGTCATGGCTTTTCAGTAGCATTTGCAGTTATTTTCCCAAGAAAGGAGCTGGGCTTTGTAGTTATTGTAGCTGAAATATTTTGGTTGAAGCTCCAGTATAAATGCCAAATATGCTTATTTCCATAGTTCAGAAGTTTTCTTTGTTGAAGTAGAATTGAACTTTCCTAGGATCCACACTGGAGAATTGGTGGCAGCATTTGCGCAGGCTCTTTGCCAAAGTCCGAGGACCACATAAGAAAACCCCCACTGCAGACCTGTAGGAATGAAACAACAGTAAGGACCTAACCTGAAGGTAGAAATGGCTGTGGGTATTAGAATGAGGAAACTGCCTCTACTAGATCTCAGCTACTCTCAACAGCAACAAACAAATATTGAGTTAATGCCTCCTTTCATTCTACATAATAAGTTGTTTTGTTGTTTATTCTTTTAGCAGTACCAAACAAAGCTTGAACTTAGGACCTTGGACTCAGTTGTCTTTTTTGCCCATGGCTGGCACTCTACACTTGAGCCATGCCTTTACCCCAGATTTCTGTGGCTATTTTGGAGATGGCTTTTCTGCCCAGGCTGGCCTTGAACCTCAAGCCTCCGGATCTCCCCCTCCTGAGTACCTGAGTAGCTACGGTTGCAGGTGTAAGCCACTACTAACACACAAGCTGTGGTAGGCTGTTCTTTTTTCTTCCCCTCACCTTTTCTGCTTGCAAATCCTAAATATATTTTCAGTCTGTTGTTTTCAACACTTAGCATTGCCCATTTCATTGAGAGCATGGACCCATAGAAATGTACAACTCAGTTGTTAAGTGTTAGACTTTGGAGCCAGTCTCTGGGTTCAGATCCCAACTCCAAAATCTCATTTGTACAACTTTAGGCAAATTTCTTAATCTCTTCCAGTTTTCCATTCTGTAAAATGAAAATAGCACCTGCGTTTTCTTGAGAATAATATAGAAAGCAATTAGAGAAATGCCTGGTACCAAGTAGTACATGTGCCATTAAAGCTATCCTCCTTGGACTTACCCCCACTTTAGAACCTGCCACATTGAAGAGGTGATATTCCAAAGCTCACTTTTCCAATTACATCCTAGACCTTCCCCTTCCTCCCCACTTTTTCTAAATAAAATTAAGGTATGATGTAGCTACCACTAATTTTCATTCTTCATGTCAAAAGGAAAGCCTAGCCACACTCATTTCATTTCCTCCCAGGCAAGCCATGCTACTGTAGAGAACCACTTAAGCTCATTTTCCCATTCTGAGCAGGAAAGGAAATAGATCATACTGGCTTTTTGTCTAGTGTCTTTTTATCAACATAATGCCTTCTACGATTCACCCCTGTTGTAGTATGCCTCTGTACTTTTCTCCTTTTTGTAACTGACTAATATTCTGTGTAATACACCACATCTGTTAAGGGACATTTGGATTTCCCCCCACCTTTGTCTATTGCAAATAATCCTGCTACATACATTCATGTAAAGATTTTCTGTGCAGATATGTTTTCACTTGAGTATATACTAGATTATATACTAGGGGGTAGAGTTTCTGGGTCATGAAAATTTTATGAATCTATGAAAACCCTTTGAGAAACTGTTCAAACATTTTACCAAGTCCTTTACTGTTTCACATTACCACATGCAAGTGGCCCAGTTCTATGTCAACACTTACTATTGTTCATCTTTTATTATGGCCATGTTAACTTTTTTTTCTTTCTTACATTTATGTTACTCCTATCTACTGGTCCTTGTCCTATTTATGCATATGCTCAGATCGTTCTTAAGCTAAATAAGCATTTCCTGAGCCTGCTACTCCTCCAAGGCTGTTAACCACACTTATATTCTTATATTCTTCTTAATATTTCTAATAATAGGTCTTCCCTTGGCATCTGTGTCACAACATCTTTTTTTGCTTCTCTGGCTTATCTTTCCTCCTCCTCCCCTATGATGTAGGCATTCCTTAATATGCTGAACTTTGTCATTCTCCTAGCAATCCTCAGCTTCAACTATGTTCATCTCTGACAACATCATATTCAACATAATATCTTCTACTTATTTGCTGTTTTGCAGTTGAAAGAACATTTTGCATATATGTCATCTCCATCAGTCTTCACAAGAATCCCACAAGTACATAAAGCAGACTCTTGCTAGTGTAACCTCATTTTATACATGGGGAATCTGAAGATCAGAAGGCTGTCTAGCTGTGAACCACAAAACAGGAAAGTGTCAAACTCAGCATGAGAAACCATGATCATCAATACTTCACCACTTGCTCTCACCCCTGTGTGAAGCTTTTCGTGGTCATCTAATGATCCCTCAGACATCCATGCACCTGTTTCACGGAGTGCTTCATTCTATTTCAATTCATTGTGGGCATCTCCTATTCAAATAAGTACTCCTTGAGGGCAAGAACTATATCCTGTTTCTCTTTCACATGCCAAAGCTTTTAGAGCATGAATGCTGAGCTTATAGAAGATAACGAGTAACAGTTCTGAAATTGATCTTCACTTCCAATTTACTCTACAATGTGCAACTTAAGTTCTTCCTGTTAGAATGGCTGCTTTTATAGCACCCAGTTTTTTCTGTAGGTTTCTTTTTTTGTCAGTCTTGGGGCCTGAACTCTGGGCCTAAGCGCTGTCCCTCAGCTCTTCAGCTCAAGGCTAGTGCTCTACCACTTGTGCCACAGTACCACTTCTGGCTTTTTTTGGGGTCCAGTCGTGGGGCCTGAACTCTGGGCCTGGGCATTGTCCCTCAGCTCTTCAGCTCAAGGCTAGCACTCTACCACTTGAGCCACAGTGCCACTTCCGGCTTTTTTTTAATTCTTATGTGGTACTGAGGAATCGAACCCAGGGCCTCAAGCATGCAAGGCAAGCGCTCTACCACTGAGCCACCTTCCTAGCCCCACTTCTGGCTTTTTTTATCTGAAGGTTTTAACATGTGTCAAAATCCTCCAGAAACACGGAACTCAGTTGATTAATTAATTAATTATTTAATATACCTCAAACCCTTGTTACTTAATGAAGAGGTCACTGTTTTCCACACACACCTCCAAATACATTTGAATTGTCCTTTTTCTCTATTGTGTTTGGTAGCATTGATGAGGACTAAGCCTCTTCACCTCACTGAGTGAAAGTTACAAGGTGTAGTTAACATCTTATCAGCTACAAGATCACAACTCTTACTTAAAATTTCATGTTTTGAACAAGAATTTAAGGATGGTAGGGACAGTTTCTGCTCAGAGATCTTTTCCTGAATGTGTTCCACATATTATATCATGCCTTCTTTAAACTATGAAAACACAAGAATATACTTACTTGGGGTGGGCAGTGGCTATTGTAGAGAACTCATTGTCCCACATTGGTCTCCCAAAGAAGGTTTTCTGTTTCAGACCTGTTAGAATGTCAGTGGCTTTGTCAAAATTTAATGCTGCATGACCAGCCTGAAGACAGAGAAACACGAGGTTAGAAAAACCAGGTCCTGATAGCAGCTTATTCTTTAGCCACTTTTAAACTTGAGTTTAAGATGAAGACAGGTAGGAAATCTTAAGAAATATGTCTTTCTAATCATCTTGTCTTATCTTTTGTCTGACAGGCCTCTTAGATTTAACACAGGAATTAGTCTGGTTTCAACTCACAATGTTGTTATCCCATCCAGTGAGGAAGAGACGGTAGTTTAGGAAATCCACTTTGCCTAATTCCTCCATCTCCTGTTCCAGGGAAGTCAATAGATCATTGAACCAGGCAAAAGCACCTGTTTCCCTGCAGATCCAGTAAAAATAGATCTAGAATGAACAAAATAGGTCATGCATTATTAATTATCCTTTACAATGTACAGAGTACAAAGTGCACATGCACTCACACACACACACACACACACACACATACACACACATACATGCATGCACATCAAATGTTAGGGTGCCTTGATAATAATTCAAGTTACACTACAGACTTGCAGTGTGGTGCAGTGCCTTTCTGCACCAGCCCTCCTAATCGGCCAGGTCCAGCCCAGGACCGCAGACTCGCCTGGGGTGGCAGCAACAGTCATGGCAGCAGCGGCAAACGACCCTAGACTCCCGGCCTGGTTCCTCTCTCTCCCGGCCTGCAGAAACAACCCAATCCAGCTCTGGGTGGTGGTGACTACAGCAGTCTCAGTGAACGACCCCAGACTCGCAGTGCAACCCTGTGCCTCCCAGCGCCACCCTGCGGAATTGGTCCAGCCCAGAGCTAGGTGGCAGCGGTAAGGAACCCCAGACCGGCGGCACCAGACAGGACAGCATAAACAGTGGCAAAGGCTGTGAAACACAGACCCAGCCTGCACCACCACCCAGCACAGCCCACAATCATTTCAACAAACATGGAACATGATGTTGGCCAGCAACTACAACACAAAAACAGCCATCTGCCACAGCACTGCTAGACAGCTCCCAACAAGTACCAGGATAAGTGAATACCCCACAAGGGACACTCCACACACACAACACCTAATCCCCCCTTCCACGGGAGACCAGCACTGGTGGTAACCCTCCCCAGCACTTGATCTGGCCTCCACCACCACCTGGGCTACAGGGCCTAAGGAAGGTGGGAGCCTTACAAGTGCACCAGCAACCAGCAGGCACACCCAGCCTGTCAGGCTTAACCAAGAGCACCCCTGGGAGGGAAACACAAGTAGTCTAGATGGCTGGTAGTGGAATAAAGGTGGAAACTGCCTAGGATATCCAGTAGGCAGTTAAAGGACCCCTACCTACATCCCAGGCAGGAACCCTAGCTATCTTAACTGCCTGCTCCTGACTTGTCAGGATCTGAGCAGGCAGCAGAAGGCAGAGTGGGTCTGCCCACCAAAATCTAGCCCTATGTGGGCCAGACCAGCAGCTGGAAAGCAGCCCCTCCTACAACAGAACCTAGAACCAGGTAAAGTACTCTCAACCAGCCCAGTGCTGAGAGCAATGTACATCAATTAATCCAGGAACAAATCCAGAACCAAGGAAAAGTAGCCACCTAGTGCCCAAAACAATCAGAGTCTGGATTTGGTCTCCAATAATCCCTGAATCCACGAGTGAAAATCACAGCATAAACAAATTACAATTCATCAATGACCAAGATAGTAAACCAGACTCAAAGGCCAGCAACCACACAGGGGAGAATGCCAGTGGAAGCAAAAAAGAAATGGAAGACAAACACTACATCCAAGAGATGATAGAGGCAATGACTCAAGAATTAAAATGAGAAATAGATCAGAAATTTAAAGAACAAAGGAATGAGCTATCAAAAGAGATCCAGGCCTTCAAACAAGAAATACATTCAAAAATAAATGCAATACACATCTCGCTAAAAGACGAGATTAATACTCTAAGGAATGACATAGAAATTATAAATGGCTCGATTTCCTCTATGCAAAATTCAATTTCCTCCATGCAAACCAAAATGGAAGCCACAGTTAATACAGTGAATGAAATGGAAAATAGAATATCAGATACTGAAGACAAAATGCAGGCACTGCAAAAAAAACACTCAAAATATGCCAAAGGGAAGTCCAAGAACAAGCAGACTGTGCCAAGAAATTTAACCTTGGGGGGCTGGGAAGGTGGCTCAGTGGTAGAGTGCTTGCCTTGCAAGCCTGAGGCCCTGGGTTCGATTCCTCAGCACCATATAAGCAAAAAGAAAAAAAAAGCCGGAAGTGGTGCTGTGGCTCAAGTGGTAGAGTGCTAGCCTTGAGCTGAAGAGCTGAGGGACAGCACCCAGGCCCAGAG